GCCAACCCGGGGATCAGGGGCTAAAAAGCTCTTGGCAAAAAGCATTATTAATCACCCAGAGGTTCCCATGAGCATCTGGGAGCCGGGCAGCCAGAGGGATGAACAGTTTCCACACAGGGTCCCCCCACACCTTACTCTTCTGAGTCAGGGAGTTCCCAGTTATGGGGGAGGGCTCCAGGATTCCCCAAATCCCCACAGCCAACACACGGAGATGATGACAGCTTCATTCATGGCCATCCTCGGTCAGGACAGGGATGGTCTGCCTCCGTGCCCACTGGCTGAAGCCTCAGCCTGCCGTCTGCTGTCCCCTGCTCAGGCAGCCCCATGCTAAAGAACCCTGAAGCCTCACCGAGTCAGGGAGATAGAGGCCCTTACACAGCTGGGAGTCCTGGCTCTGAGCGGTGGGGCCCATGACCCCAGCTATCGGGGATCTCAGACTCGCCTCCATCCAATCAGCCTGGGTAATGCAATCTCGGCAAGCCAGCACTTCCCTTTTAATTATCAGGCCCAGGTGCAGAGAAGGCCCTTCCCCACTGTGGGAATTCCACCTGCCAAGGCTTGAGGAGGATATTTTAAATTGTGGTAAATGAAATTAAAATGAGCCAGTCTTAGCCTCTACTGTCCCCTAGGTACACAGCGCCCCTGACCCCTGCTCACAGATGCTTGGGCAGGAAGTCTCAAACCATCTGTGACACCTCCTCCAGGGAGGCCTCCAGGTTGATTCCAGGCCAGAGGGAGCACTTCTGTCTTTCTCACCCACAGCACTTTCTATAGGAGCCCAGACCCTCTGCCCAAGGAGCCTTGGTGGGGGTGCCCAACTCTCTAGTTGGGGGATTCCCACACACTCCCTGGCAGGCGTCCTGCTGCCCTTTCACAGCAGTAAAGCTGGCAAGGCTATGGAGAAGTATCTTGGAAGTAGGGAACAAAGGTTCTGGGGCCCCAGGGAGGCTGAGGTGGGGACTGCCAGGCCCTTGGCTGCCAGCTGGGGCCCTGATGCACTCTCTTAGGTCACCTAGTGCTCAGGGACATTTATCAGCCCAGCGCAGTCTGCCAGACAGGAAATGTCCTTTGCTTCCTCTGCCTCCGCCCCCAGTCTGACACTCCGGGCCCCGGCCAGGCGTGGGGAGGTGGGGAAAGACAGGGACCATCCCCCCCCCAAGAATGGGCAGTCCTTTCCAAACCCCACCCCCTCCCAGTCCCAGCACGTGACTCCTGCCAGTTAACTGCCCCAGCTGGAGGGGAGAAGGGTGGGACCCTAACAAGAAGCATCTCAACAAGCTCCCACCCCAATCAGTGGTGCCCTCAAAACCCACCCCCTGCTCTGCCTCTCCAGGGCCTTCCTGTGAACTGGAATTCAAAGACCAGATTCCTTGTCAGTTCTCCATGTCCACCTCCCCCAATCGCATTTCCAGTCCCCTGGTCCCCCAAGGCCAGTCTCCCCCCCTCCCCCTCCCAGCACCCCCTCCCTCGTCAGGCGCCCTGTGAGTCAGCTCCCGGTGAGCAGGGCACTAACTTCCTCCCTCCCAGGCCTCCCTGGGGACAAATGGGGCAGTGGCAGGCTCCCCCTGGCCAGCCAGGGTGGGGGCCCACATCCGGGCAGGCCCCCAGAGGCTCCCGGCCGGCTCACAAGGAAGCCTGCAGCCCAGCCCCCACCGCCGACCCCTGACAGGGTGGCGTGGGAGGAAAAATCTTCCAGCCATCTGCTCAGCTGCCGGGTTTCCGGCCTGGGCAGGCCAAGGGACGCCAGGAGGACCTGCTCTCTCTCCCGGGGAAGTGCCCCTTGCCCTGCTGGGAGGAAGGACGCTGGCCAGCGGGACCCTGGAGCCCTGACCAAGGAGAGCCGGTCACCCAGGCTCCGGGGCCTAAACAAGCAGTCTCCAGCTGTGGCCTTTGGACCTGCCTAGTCCCCCAGGGAACCCCGGCCCCCAGAAGCCAGGAGCTGGGGCACAGGGCTCCTGGGTCCAATTAGGCCTGACTCAGCTAGTGACCCCAGCTGAGTCACTTCCCCTGGACAGCCTTCCCGCCTCAGTTTCCTCGGGGAGGACAGGCAGCTGGGAACGCGGTCTGGCTGGGAACGAGCAACTTGCCTTACACCTTTGGACTCTGCGAGGCGGGCTCTCCCGTCTGCCAGACGGAGCAGCTTCCTGCCCCACCCAGTCCCAAATGCTGAACACGCAGGGCCCCCTGGGGACTCTTTTCCCTGGAAACCAGGCAATTAAGTGCCAACCCCCTCTTGGGCATCAATAGCAGTAGCTCCCACTTATCGATCACTGACTATGCCAGGCATGTGCATGCCTCTTCTTGTGCTGTCCCCGAAAACCAGTGGCTCAGAGAGGTTAAGGGACATGCCCAAGGTCACACAGCCATCGAAATTATACCCAGCACTCTGTGCCAAGCTCATACCCTGGGAACACGAGCTCATACACCTTGGAGAGGCAGCACTTCTTGGCTCCCAGTGGGCGAGGGAAGCCCAGAGAAGTTAGGTCACTTGCCCAAGGCCCCACAGCTACAAGCCAGCAGAGCCCATACTCGGCTTCAAAGCCCACGCTGCTACCAGGGAGAAGTAGGAATTGAACAGGAAAGTTAATAATAACGATAACAATAATAATAATATCTACTGAGTGCCAGGCCCAGCACTCAGTGCTTTATGTGCCCTGAGTCTGCCACTCAGAGTGGGTGGGGGTTTAGGCCTGGCAGCGGGAGCGCCTCCAGCCCCACCCCCCTCTGCTCAGGGAGAAGTTCCATGCAGGAGGGGAGGGTGTTCCGGCTGGCCCAGCTGGACCCAGCCAGCCGAAGGGCCCACAGACCGAGCTCCTGCCCAGCACCCGCTGGGCCCAGGCGGCTGCCACATCGGAGTGGCTCTCCAGAATCTGGTTTGTATTAGAAAGTCCCCGTCAGAGGAGGCTCATGCCCAGGGTTCAGAAGAGTGGGGATGGGAGAACCTGGCAGGAGGACAAGCAGAGCTACTTCATGACAAAGTGTAAGGACAACCTCGCCTGTTAGTATTCCTCCTCCTGATCACATCACTGTAAACACTTGGTGTGTTCGCTCGTTTATGGCTCCAGAGACCTGAAGAAATAGGTACATTCCCATTTGACAGGTGAGAAAACTGAGGCTGGGGGGGGGGGGTTAAGCAAGGTCTCATAGCCAGGAAGCACCATCTACTCCTCCTTCAGAGCTCTTTTCCCCAAGATTCAGGAAACCTCTGAGCTTCCACAGCCAGTAACACCAATGACGGCGGTGATAAAATCACCACCTCTGCCTATAATTGAACCCTTTCTCTGCCAGGCAGCAGGTGCTTCTCATATGGCTCATTAAGTCTTACCACAAACCTGTTATTACCCCATTGAACGTAATGGGAAGCTGAGGCTGTCACCTGCCCCCACCCTCAGCTGGAAAGAGGCAGCAAGAGATTTGAATCTAAGCCTCTAGAATGCTCCTCGGCCACAGCTAAGCCCTGGAAGGTCCTCGGACCCCAGCAGTTAATCCTTCAGACCGGCCCCTTCCCAGCCTAGCCTCGGCCTCTGGAGCCCACAGGGACTCCGACAAGTTCTAGGAATGTTCACCCTTTGGCTCGGAAGGATTTTCCCTCCCAGAGGGGGGCTGTGGGAAAAGGCTCAGAAAACGTGTATTAAAAACCCTTCCAATTTCCCCAACAGGCCCTGGCCTCTCATCCGCTGACCCCCAGGCCGCCCAGGCGGCCTCTGCCTGCTCTCCCCCAATTAGGGCTGGGCCCCCGCCCCCACAGGTCCCAGGAGCCCTCAGAGCTGTTTCCGCTCTGGCAGCCAGGTCAGTGATGGCAAATCCAGAAACAACTCGAACCCACAACCCTGGCAGGGCCCTGAGGCTGGGCTACAAGTGGGAATGCAGAAGGGGCTGGCGGTCCAGCTGAGCCTGGCAGCTGGGAGGTGTCAGGGGATGCTCACCTCCCAAGCAAGGGGGGTGCGGATCAGATCTCTGCCCCTCCTGCCCCCAAAGCTGGGCCTTGGCCCTGCAGACACTGCACTGCCAGGCCCTCTCCCCTGAAGCCCCTGCCCGCACCCCAATTTCACTTCCTCCCACCAGGGCCCGCCTGGCCGTGTCCCTCCCGGGAGGTCCCCAGCTGCAGGCAGTGACCTCCTCACCTACATCATAGTGGCCCCGGGAATGGGGAAGAGAAACAGGAGAATGAGGAAACTAAAGAAATAGAAGCCGGACAGGCGGATACAGTTCCTCAAATGTAGTCCCACCATCCCAAAAGCCCCCGTGGCCAAAGGGAGGAGGGGGATTTCTTCCTGGGGCGTTAAGGCCTCTGAGATACCTCCCAGCCCTGCTGGTCTGTCAGTCCAACGCAGCCCCTACACCCCCCCCCTTTATTTTTTTGGTGGGAGGATTCCCCAGGAGCCTCGGGAGCCCCAGGTCCCGGTTCTTAGGGTCCTAGACCAAAGAGACCCAGGCCTGGGGCTTTCTAACCCTTGTGAACCTCTAAATTCAGTGGCACGGGGGTACCTGACCCGGCTCACCCCCACAATGCGAAGAGTGGGGAAGAGGGGATCCTAAAATCGGGGTGCTACCCTGGCAGCCACATGGCCTGGCCTGGGGGAGAGGAGAGACTGGCTGCGGCCGGAGGGCTCTCCCGTTCTCAGAGCCTCAGTTGGACTACTTTCACTTTCAAGGTCGCAAACGGTGACCCCCGACCCTCCCTCCCGGGCACAAGCTGAGGGGGAATGCTGCCCTCGAAGGCCGGGCTCCCTTAGGAGGCGGAGGGGGGTGTTGGCCCTACCCTGGCTCAGCACCTCCCTCGGCGCCTGGCTGCCCCCATTACATCCCAGCACGTGGGTGGGTGGGTGCGGGTGTCGCCCGGAGGAGGGTCACCCCGGAACACCTCCACGCGAGGCAGCTGCAGGACAGCATTGTAGCCGCTGTGAGTGCGCAGGCACCGGACAGGCTGGCCGTGGGCCTCCGGCTCCCCCACGAAAGCCTCCCTTCCCCAGGACGAGGGCGCCGGAGGGCGGGCTCACCTGACAGAGAGGGGGTCCGGGCCCGGCCGGCCCATGGCGTCGCGCGCCTCCGGCCCCTCGGAACCGCGAGGGGGGCGGGCGGGCCCCCGCCCCGGGCACGTTCGCTCCCGCCGCGCGCCGGCTCCTGGCTCGCGGCTCGCTCGAGTGGGGCTCAGGCAGGAAACCCGGGCTCGGAAAATGGCCAGCGTCTCATCATTTCCGCCGCCAGCGCTTGACAGTTGCGGGAGGAGGATGCGCCCCCGGGCCGACGCCGCCGGGGAAACTTGGCTGCCGCCGCCGCCACCGTTGCCACCGCGGGCCGCGAGAGTCCAGGCGGGCGGCCGGGCGGAGGCGGAGGCGGAGGCGGAGGCGGTGGCCCGAGCCCATGCCGCCCCGCGCCGTTATGTAAAGAGGAACCGGCGGTGCTAGCGGAGCCCGGCGGGGGAGGGAGGGCGGCCACGGCAGGGGCGGGGCGGGGCGGGGCGGGGCCGGCCCTGGGCGGGGCCACGCGGAGCCCGCCCCTGTCCGGCCGCCGCGAGCCAGGCCCCGCCGGGGAGACGGGGCTGCACGGGGCCCCGCCCACCGGCCCTGCTTCCCGACGCCGAACAGGTCCCGAGAGTCTCGAACGTGAGCCGGGCGGGAGGCGGGGCTCGATAAGCCACGCCCCTCTTGCCGACCCGGGTTTGCCTCGCGCGGCCTAAAGGGAACGAACGGCCCGAGGGGCGGGGAAATGATGGCCCCGCCCACGTAGTGCCTGCCTATCACTGAGCGCCTCCGCCTGCGGGGGCGTGGCCAAATAAGGGAGGGGCGGGGAGGGGCGGGGCCTGAGGCGGGGCGGGGCCGAGCCGCTCAGCCTGGAGGGGGCGCGGCCCCGCCGACTCTCCCACCGACCCCTCCCTCTCCCCCGCCCCCAACAGGGCCTTATCAGCACGCGCGGGTCCAGCCGGTGCAATAGCTGCGGCAGCTTTCATCATCGCCTGGGGAAGGATCCCGGCCCCCCGTACCCCCGGCTCTGCTCTTGCCTCAGCCCGCGCCTCTCTCCGACCACCCGTCACCCCACGCCGGGAGTGCATCTCTTTTCAGGAAGCTCTCCGGGACCGCTGGCCTCCCAGGCCCTCGGGGCTTCCCTCTCTGCCCTCCCCCGGACTACTTTCATTTTCTGTGGGGTGAGATCGACGGTGGGGTTCCCCCTAGTCTGAGGTGGAGCAGAGGCTCAGCCAGCCTCCCTCAACACTCGGGAGGAGGGAGAAGAATGCCTATTCTTCTCTCTCTCCCAACCGGAAACAAGCCGCTCACGCCCCCAACCACCCGGGGCCACATCACCCCTTCCCAGACCGCTTAGTGCTCTATTCCACCGCCTCCCCCTCTTACTGGTCTTGGGCAAATGACTAGACTTCTCCATACCTCGATTTCCTCATCTATGAAATGGAAACCATACAAGAGTACCCACGCCCATTGGGTTCCTGTGAGGATTGAATGAGTTTAATGCGTTAAAGCAGTTAGCACGGAGTTCTGCCCCCCGGGAAAACGCTACTGCATTAGTGTTTCTGAATAATCGAGTCTACTCCTGCTGCTGCAGCAAGGGGTTCCCCGGAAAGTGGGGATTTCCAGACTCCACCCAGATGGGGGGGGGGGGAGACGGGTGGGCTGAAAAATTCATATAACTTTGAAGGGACTGGCCACAAACATGTGCTTTCCACAAGTATGTGTCAAATATCTACTGACTGGCAGGCCCTGTTCTAGGTGCTGGGGAAACAGCAGTAAACAAAACATCTCCCTGGGGGCAAAACTCCATGCTCACTGCTTTAATGCATTAAACTCATTAAAGTGAACAAAACACATCCCTGCTCTCATTCCGGTGGGGGGGGGGGGATGAAGAGCAGAGGTAAATAACTGTGATCGTGTATTATGAAGATGTCAGTACAATGACAGGATGGAGAAATACACTGTCTTAGACCGGAGGTTCAGGAAGGACCTCTCTGAGGGGCTAACATTGGAGCTGAAAGCATATTTCTACCCCCCTCCCCCAGCAAAAACAAGCAGGATCCAGGCAGGATAAGGTCTGAGGGAAGGACATTCCAGACCAAAGGAACAGCAAGTGCAAAGGTCCTGAGGTGGAAATAAGCGTGGTGTGTTAGAGGAAAGTCAGGAAGGCAGTGGCGATACCTAGGTGGGAAAAGATGGAGCTGGAAAGGCGGGCCTGTTACCTGGAGACTGGGAGATAGTGGCGGCAAGTTTGGGATTTTTCTCGAGGGCAATAGGGAGCCATGAAGGGTTTTGAGCCGAAGGATCTGTTTAACTTTGGATTTGAGCTTCATAGACCACAGTTGGCAACCCGTTAGGAGGGAACCCCAGTGATTTTCACACCCTTGTGAGGATGTGGGACAAAAGGGTGTGGGGAGACAGGTATGAGGGAAGCCTAAATTATCCACCCGGTATTATTATCTCTCTATTCCATTTGGGGAGACCGAGGGCCAGAGAGAGCAGTTACTTGCCTGCAGTCACACAGCTGCCGGGTGAGGCCAACCTAGTTGCCAGGTACACAGCAGTTGTCAAATGGTTGCTGAAATCTGCCAGCCACAAGCACTTTCCCTCTCACTGCCCAGACGGCAGTTCTGCTGACTTAAATGGAGACTTGTGGTTCTTCCCCTTTTTAATCACCGCGCAGCCTTCTCTCGCACCAGATTTCTCTGAGGCCCAAAGTGGTTTTCCTTCTCGTTAACTTTCCACAAGCGTCCCCTTCAGAACCAGCTTCTTGTTTCAGTGCTCTCTGCAGTGGAGACTTCTCATTTCGTGATTTTCCTTAGAAAGGCAAACGGTTACAGCGAATTGCCCTCCCATCGCCTTACCTTGCCCTAGATTTGAAAGCCTCCAGCTCAGAGCAGCAATTCTTCTCCTCCCAAGGCTGGCTGGCTCTGGCTCCTCCCACGCCACAGGTTGCTAGGGCCCAAAGAGAAAGAGGTTTATTTGAATTCCCCAAACACGCAAGGAGGTCTGAAGGGAGCCGGTCCCACAGCCCTTCCTTCCACCTGCTGCCTGCCAACTCCCAGGGGCCAGAGACGCTGAGGATTCATAACAAAACAATGGTCGATGGCAGTGTTAATAAGTACTTATTAATACCATTAATAACTAGCATTAACAAAATGGAGGTTAATATGTACAGGATTAATAATAAACGGGTTGATAACAATAAATAAAATAATGTAACAATAGTTAGTAGGTCTAGTTAATAATAATAGTAACTATTAACTATTACAGGGTTAATAGCAAACATAAAATAACAGTAGGGCCAAAACCGGTTTGGCTCAGTGGATGGAGCGTCAGCCTTCAGACTGAAGGGTCCCAGGTTCGATTCCGGTCAAGGACATGTACATTGGTTGCAGGCATGTCCCCAGTACGAGGTGTATAGGAGGCAGCTGGTCATCGATGTTTCTAGCTCTCTATCCCTCTCCCTTCCTCTCTGTAAAAAATCAATAAAATATTTAAAAAATTAAATAAAAGTAGAATATTAGTAGCAATGATAAATAGGATAATAGCAGGTCAGGGGTTAATAGTAATAATAGGAACTAATGGTTAAAGGATTCATAATAATAAATATAACATAACAATAGGTCAGTCATAAGATTAATAATAAATGCAATGTAATAACATAATCATAGTTAACAGTTCTAGGGCTAACAATACAGCAATTAATAGCTACACGCTGGGAGAAGCCTACATTGCTATGAACTGACCACGAGGGCCCTTCTGGTGAGGGCCCAGGGAGAAAAGAGGAGGGCTGCAGGAAAAGTCGTCCACGATGATGGAGGAATGACCCAGGGGCATTTTGGAGGCCACGGGGCTTCCCTCCCATCACAGGCCTATGGTCGAAGGGCCTTGGTGGCAGGAGGATTTTTAAGAAGCTGCCCCTGCCGCTCTGCTCAGGTCTGTGCTGTGCCCAGAAAAGCTGTGGGGGGTGTGGCTGTCTCCACCTAGATTCCTGAAGGGCTGCCAACTAGCACATCCCAGGCAGAGGGCCACCTCAGGGTGGGGCCGTCCCTGAGCGCCCTCGTCTGACACCCTCCGGCAGAGTCATGGGGCCGGGGCTGCCCCTGCAGCTCCAGGCTGGGTGCAGCCACCTGCTTACCAGCCCAGCCCTGGAACCCTGCTGCCAGGGCTTCCCCTAAGAAAGCCATGGATGGGTACGGAGCCTTGGGAGGCAGAAATGCCATCCTGGTGTGGCCAGAGGCAGGATTCCCCCAGCCTAGTGGGTCCAGAAGGTGGGACCACGGTCCCAGCAAGCCTGGAGGGCAGAGCATTGAGCCAAAGGGCCTTAAGGATCTGGACTTCTCAGGACCTGCCGCTCCTCTCTTCCTTTCTGTGTCTCCCTTTTGGAACGGGAATGTCTATCCTATAATGGCCCTCCTTTGTGTTGGAAAGCACATAACACGTTTGATTTCACGGGAGGAGAGGAATTTACCTCAGAATGAGTCTCATAACTGACTTAGATTCAATTTTGTATTTAAATTTTTAAAAGTATATTTTATTGATTTTTTTTTTTTTACAGAGAGGAAGGGATAGGGATAGAGAGTTAGAAACATCAATGAGAGAGAAGCATCGATCAGCTGCCTCATGCACACACCCTACTAGGGATGTGCCTGCAACCAAGGTATATACCCTTCAGTCCACAGGCTCTATCCACTGAGCCAAACTGGTCAGGGCTGTATTTAAATTTTTTAAAATTGATTTTTAGATAAAGAGGAAAGGAGAGTGAAACATCCGTTTGTTGTCCCACTTATTTATGCAGTCCTGGGTTGCTTCTTGTATGTGCCCTGACAGGGGTTCCCGCAACCTTGGCCTAGTGGGACGATGCTTCTACCGGGCCAGGGCGAGACTTTGCTTTTTTTTTTTTTTTTTTTTTTTTTGCTACTAAGTTAGGGAGTAATTTGCTACACTGCACATAACTAATACCAAGTTCGAGGGTTGCTGAACTCCAGCTCTTAACTACCTACTGTGTCCAAATAACAAGGATGGTGATGGTGGTAACAGAATTAATCATCCTTAGAGCATTCTGTGCCACTCTGCTCTAATTAGAGCACAATTTTGAGGGCTTTACAAGGATCAACTATTTAGTCTTCCCAACAACTGTATGAAGGATAGACTGTTATTTCTCTCCATTTGACAGAGGAGGAAACTGAGGCACAGAGAGGTGACATGACCTGCCAAGTCCCCAGGCTGGAAAGCGGTTGACACTCAGTCTCTGGAATTACGCCCTCGGCCCAGTGGCCGCGCTCACCACCCCCACCCCGCGGGCCCCCAGCCCGGCCCCAGAGCTGCCAGCCACCCCCTCTTCCGCCCGGGGAATCTGGTTTCTGCGGGGAAGTGACTCAGTGGCTTGAGGCCCCACAGATAATTATTCACTTCCAATCCCGGTAATTAAAGGTCCTAATGGCTCCGCAGAGGACGGACAACCT